TTTGTTTATTTAATATATATATATATATATATATAATTTTTATCTTAGTCTAAATACTCAAATTGGGAAAGCAAAACAAGTTTAATACAATTAAACAAATTTAGTTTTCTAATAAGAAACATGTCCTAAACTTGTTTAGTTGACAATGTAGCCATATTAGAAGCTGGTGAGTTTAGACAAATGTGTATGAAACCCATTATAAGCAAAGGCTTATACAATAAAAGTAACAAATTATATAAACCCAAACGAACTTACCAAAAATCATAAGATGCTCGCCAAGTCATAGAGCACTCACTCAACATAGAAGGCACTAGCTCTAATCAAACAAAAAACCACACTCCTCAGATAGCACTTACCAAGCATGTAGGAAAGCCTAAAAAGCACTCACCTTATTTCTAGGGCACTCAGCTAAGCTAAAAAAACACTTGTAAAGACATAAAAGCGTTCTTCTAGGTCAATTCAACTTCTACACTTAATGCCAACTAGAACCTATTTCAATTGTGAAAAATATGTTGATGTTATTTCTGTTTAACATAATTCATGATCTTTCCAGAGTATGGAATAGCCATCATAAGCAAATTAAGATAATCTTGATAAATAAAAAAGCAAAGCGAAAGATAGGCATTGAAAGAAAGGAGCCCATCAATACTTAAAAATAGTTATGAACATTGATGTAAAGGGATGTCACATCAATATCATTACGAAAGTAATAAACAAGAGCATTATTCTCAATGTATGAATTGAAACATATCACATTCTCTTTAATAAATCCATGAATAGAACAAATACTTCAATTAATTCTCCTATTCATTTTGAAAGTCACTCTGTGAATATATAACCAAAAAAAAAAACTAAAGTAAAATATGCAATGAAGCTAAGAAATTAAAAAGATACTTGCACATTTCCAAGGGCATATGCTCATCTCAAAAATTGATCACCAAGGTTAGAAGTCACTTGCCAAGCTTTGGAGGCGACCACCAAGCTTCAAAAGAACTAGCCTAATTCTAATGCGTCTAACGCACAAAAAGGAACTCACTAAATTTAGAGATGACAATTCATCTATGAAAGTATTTTCCTAGATTAAAATCTAATTGTTGTGTCCATATATCTATAACATTTATATCATGCATCATTCTTTTTTTTTCTTTGCTAGATAAAAATATAGCTTCTCATGTAGAGCCCAAAAATCTTATAAAGAAAGTTAAGAAGGTCATTTTCAAAGAGAAGGCATAAATTATACTATGATTTTTTCATGGAGATTAAGATCTTTAAAGTCTCCCACTCTCTATTTTCTCTTTCTCTTCCTGTTCCTCTTAATTTTCTTCCTACTTTTTTTTATAATGTTTTGTTAAGACTACTTAGATTCTACAAATAGAGCTTTGGCATCCCCACAAAAAAAATTAGATCATACATCTCCATCATTAACGCATTTCACATGCAAAAATAAACTCTTTGAAATCTCACCATTTGTATGTGCGAGCGAATGCTAAGCGAAAGGTTCTTATCAACTCCGAGCAGATAGTGGCCATAAGGACCGGCACAAAAACAACCTCCTCTCGCCTGAATACCAAACAGATCATTAAGCAGTTTGGTCACAAACCTACCATGGAGAGGCTTCCGATTCTCCATTCTGCATCCTCCAGTCTCGCTAGGAAACACCATGAAGGAAAAGATTGAGATCTTCTCTGCATCTGAATTCCCCAATATTTTAATATTGGGATTCTTACGCAGTCTTTCAGTGGCTTTTTGGATGTAAAGCCTCTCCTTAACATTAATAACATCATAGCCTACAGATTCCTTCACCCAAAAGGCCAACGCCGCCCTTATCTTCTGAAGGATTAGCGGCGTTCCAGCATCCTCTCTTTCTTCAATGCCGTCGCGGTACAGAGTATCCTGAAAAGCAAATGCAGAATTTTGAAAATTATTAATTTTTTATATTTAACCAGTTTGCTCTTGAAAAAAAAAAAGCCTAGTGAATATATAGGGAAATTATTTAAATAAAATTTTCTTTTTAGCGGAAATTACAATTGAAGAATGAAAAGCGTTCAATTTTATTTTAATTCACCTCTGGATTGTAGCCGTTGACATAATCAACAATACCTCCTCCACAAGTGGAGGGAGGCAGGGATCTGAGCTGATAGAGGGTTTTGTTCATCATAAGAATGCCAGGTGATCCCGGACCACCTATGAACTTGTGAGGACTAATAAATATTGCATCATATCCTTCTATATCTCCAGACCTCATGTCTATTTCCACATAAGGACCGCTGAATCAATAATTTCATCAATTGGCATTGCTAGACTACATCTCTGAACTTAACTTCTAGAAAAGCAAGAAAAGAACATTTTTTTTCCCAAGCTGAGGGACTAAGATTTTGTACTCTCCAACCAATTCATTTGGAAAGACACAAAATTTAATTAAAAAAAAAAGCAAGACTTTACCTCGAGGCAAAGTCGAAGCAAGCAAAGGCGCCATGCTTGTGTAGGAGTCGAGCAAGTGCTCTAGTGTCAGTAATGATCCCAGTAACGTTGCTGCAAGCTGAGAAGGAACCCAACAATGGCCGATTTCTGTATTTCATAGAGGAGAGCTCGAGCTCTAATGCTTCCATGTCAAGCATTCCATCACCATCAAAACCGATTTCAATCACTTCGGCCGCACTTTGCCGCCACGAGAGGAGATTTGAATGGTGCTCATGTGGCCCAACAAACACAACCCATCTCTCCTCCTCCCTTAAATTCTTAATAACTCTATCCATAAGAGTTGCAGGCACTGCAATTCCCATCACTTCCTGTAACCTTTTGATTGCAGCAGTGGCTCCAGAGCCACAAAATAGGAGAACATCATCAGGTCCGGCACCAAGGCATCTCTTGATATACTCTGTAGCATCGCTTACCATCCTTGTTGTTCTTTCACCAGCATAGCTATCTTTGGTATGAGTGTTGCCTGACCACAAAAAAAGATAAATCAATTGATAAAGACATACATCCAAGTTGTAAGAGAGATAAATGTGTTATGATTAGTACCATAGAAAGGGAGGACTTGTTGAGTGATATAATTTTCGATGTAGTGCAGGCACCTCCCAGATGCAGTATGATCAGCATAAATGAGAACTCGCCTCCCGAATGGAGTATCAAACTCTTCATCTCTTCCAATCAATTGATTCCTAATCCACTCCAAACTCCCTTCTGTTTGCTTGCTTTGCGTGTCCTTGCCGATCAATTTTGGCTGATGGCATGATCGTTTCTTGTTAAAAAGATTTCTGGTTTTCATGATTCAAGTTTCAGAAGGAAAAGTAGGTGAAATAAGGGAGAGGATTGAAAAGATCTTAAAACTTGGTCATTGTGACATAAGGAAGCCAATAATGCAAATTCGATGAGCTCGAAAGCTATTACATGGAGTTGGCAAACAGTGGATCTAACTATTAAATTTTCATATCACACCTATTTTATTTTATTACACACCGCTTCATTAAATATGTTATCTTTACGATGATATCAGATCAATTTTGTTGACCTTTTATTTTAGTTGAATATGTTTTATCATTTATATTGCGTTCTTAATTTTATTGAGATGGATAGAAAGAGGGAGTGCCAAACGCCCCAGCCATTTAACCCTTATCCCACTTGCATTGTAGGTACTATTTGGTAGTTAGATTTATCCGATATTTACGGAAGATTTACATTTGCATATACATATATATATATATATATA